GAATGCAATTTTAAGTAATTTATGTTAAATTGCTAATTCTTACGAATCAACATGATAAAAAGGGTACAGTAGAATGATCTGCAATTTTTTGGGGTATTTTTAAAAACTATTTTTAGTGTACTTTTGATGCTTGAATAATATTTGTCAAAAAAAGGTGAATGTGTGATTAACATCTTGAAGAGACATTTACTGACATGTACGACTGTGCTATTAACAATGCTATAAATATATGATAAATATCAGCGTGAGATTACAAATGTAATTAGCGTAGGCCGTATAGAAAATTGTTCTGAAACCATCAGAAGGTTTGATGACAATGTACAGTCTTGTATTGGCTAGCCTTTATATTGCTTATATTATCCTATGCCATAACATGTTGTTTGTAATTATTTAGTTGAAAAATGAAAAAAATATTTATTGAAACTATACTGAACTAACATAGGTATACTCATTCCAATGATAATTGCACCACCTTTTGTACACAGTACCGTTTCACAGAAGGTATGTTTATATTTATAACGATGTATATTATCTGCCATATAATTTTATAGAAGTATAACTTTTTACTTTGGTACCCAAGCACCTACTGTACACTGGTTTTAATCTGTGTAAGAGGAACATTTCATTTCGGTCATTCCGGTTACTGTGTGGTCTGTAAACTATGTACATGCACGCAGTACTCGTACACACGCACACACACTATGCGTATGTATCGTTTTATAGAAGGAATATTTTTATTCATAACGATATATATTATCTGCCATATAATTTTATAGAAGAACAACTTTTTACTTGGGTACCCAAGCACCTCCTGTCCACTGGTTTTAATCTGTGTAAGAGGAACATTTCATTTCAGTCATTCCGGTTACTGTGTGGTCTGTAAACTATATATACACACGCAGTACTCGTATACACGCACGCTCACTATGCGTATGTATACACATGTAACACGTATATAATATACCAGTATAATAATAAGTAATATATAACTATACTGGTGTAACGTAAATGCGAGAAACTAAATCATCAGTTAATTATCAGCGAATGATAAACGATTAAACAACGTAAATAAAACGTATCTATACCTGTAGTTTCTTACTTATGGTAAATACCAAAGTTCAAATAAACCAAGAAAAAATTAAGAAAAATAAAGAGTCCCTAAAAAACTGCATAAAGTAAATAAAAAAAATATATACTATACGAAAAAACAGTTGATGGTTTGCTGTACTTAACAAATATTATTAGACTAGATATTAAATGTTTTATGAATGTATTAAGCGGACTTACTACAATGAATTTATTATATTAGATTATATAACACAAAGTTGTTAATATAATTTTTTTTCTAAATTTAAATTTTAATGAAACGAAAGTTCGTAACTTTCATTAATAAACTTAATAGGAATTAAAAATAAACACTTGCGATCTACAAAGAAATTTGTAAGTACGCAAGATAATAAACAAATTAAATACACAAATAGTACATTACATCAAACAGAATTTTATACAGTAATATGGACGTCAGTTTTCTGTATGACACACTGATACCACTCCATACATATTACTTTGTGACACTGACCTTTAATAAGAAACTTGGGCATAATACGTTCATCGTCAGTCAAAAGAGCTTACGAGGATTCTTGAAAAACCTAAGCTCATTGTTTTTAACAAAAATTATGTTAAAGTAAACAACGTAAGAATAAATATCCATACTTATCTACTTTTATCTATTATCTACTTTTTTCTTAAATTCTAAATTTGCTGTTAGTATTCGTAGCTGCTTGAGGAGACAATGGTGAAGCACAGATCTGATGACTCTCCTTATTTAGTACAAAGCTTTTATTGGATCGAGATTTGAGTTTCGCAGGTTTCTTATATTTTCTTGCTTTTGTACTTATTTATATAAACTTAGATAAAGTCCGATACACATGCGTAAAAAGTACCTTAGTTAATTGCACGTAAAGTGTTTCAAAGTATTACACCATTCTTTCTATGCAGACTAAAGTTAAAACTTCAAAATCTCAGTTAATTAGTTGTGTGTTATAATTTATATTTACATCAAAAAATACAAGTTTGCAAGGACTTGTATAATTTACTACTTACGACTGCATTGAGGTATACTTTCAAGAAAAATCTCTAATGTATAAATCGCAAATATTATTCCTCTATGTTGAGCCAAAGATCGTTGCATAAACTAATAATAATAAGAATATGAATAGTAACAACAACAACAACAAAAACAATAGCAACAACAACAACAACAAAAACAACAACAACAACAATAATAATAAGAATAGTATTATAATTGATGATAATAATAATAAGAATTGTAGTAATTATAATAATCCCCTGAAGTAATGGTACATAACGTTACTAGGATGCAAAGTACAAACATGAGCACCCACAGATCGTGGTTGCTGTATGTTTGAGACCAAGTCACAAATAATGCTTTTTTTACCGAGGGCCCAAAGTGCAAGTATGCGTCTGTAAGCACATTTTGCACCTTGTAAGCTACTTCAGATCCTAGGGCAGAAAAGTTCTTTGTGCATACCAAGCCCAAAGTAATTTTCTCCTCATTGGCCCAAAGTGATTACAAAGACGTAAAGCGGTGATAGCACTTTGTACCCATAGTAAGAAATCGTAGTTTTCATACCTGGTGGCCCATGTCACCAGAAAAAGTACCCGGCCCAACGGAGTCCTTTTGATTGAACTGGTTGGATGCGCACCAGGTGCGAGCCCTATTTTTCCTACCAAGGATACACCCGACCCTTAAAAACGCCCAAGGTAGGAAATGGTACTTTATGTCCTAGTCGCTTACAACGTCAGCTAAGGAAATATCGATCTTAAAACTTTTAAAGTTATTTAGGATATGTTTACTACTAAAAGGGCAATAAAATACAGACCATTAAAAAGTATTCTTAGTTTAAGATGTAAATAGAAGGGTTACATAAGCATCACAGGCTCGTGTCTCATTCATATACAGTTTAAGAAATATCTGGAATCCAAGCACAAGATTTTTAATTTTTCTACAACATAGAGTCTGAAAGTTAACAATGTAAATAACATTTCTACGCATCTAAGATAGCCAAAAAAATTTGTATTTAAGGTTTGGATGCTGTTAAGATTGCTAGTCTGAAATCTTATAAATTTATAATTTTAATGGACAATGCTGTCACAAATGCATGCTCTTAAATTGGGTCATCTAAATAAAGGTGTTTTATACTCTGCAGAAGTCGAGGATAGTGTAGAAATTTTTTCCAGTCTTATATTGGTTTTTGTACTACTCAATTTATTTGATTATTTATTAAAGTTGCCACTAAAATGTGCACCTGTCGTAAACCAATTGGTAATGTAACATTTCATACGTGCGTAACGTTATTGCAAATAAAATTTTTTGTTACAAAATTTAATCACTAAAATTATCTTTATAGTACAAAACGATTAAATCTATTAAGTTTATAATGTTTATTCTATAACAATATAAGTATTGCAAAAAATTTTGTATAATATTAACTTGACCAGTATATATGTAAGGTGTGTTTTTGTTTCTTCGCAGATTAGCGCACCATTTTAATGCCACTATACTTAAAATCCTAATGATTCTCAAATTTTCAGCTTTATTGTATTTTAAATTTATTTTCATATAACTTATTTTTTGTAACCTAGTAATTATAATAGTAAATCATTTTAGAGAAAAACAATGGAAACAATTATATGTTGATCTAAGACAAACGGTGTTAAAACGTTAAACGATTGTGTATCGCAACTGCAGGATCCATGATTTCTAAGTTTCCCTCAAACTCTATAGTTAAAATAAAAAAAAATTTCTTATTTTTTATAAAACAATCTTATTGTAACTGTTTCATGTACATGGTACCTTCACGCATTAATTATGAGTGAGGATCATGACGTGGGAAACCACCGCCGTATAGTTTTTACAGCATTATCAAGACATGAAAAAAAAATTGCACGATACACGGAGTTAAAACTCTAGAGTCGTAGACTAAGGAGGATATGTGGGCCAATAGTATCATCTTTATGTAACTATGGTTTAGCTTCAATGTCATTAAAAGTAAGCAGTTGGAGTTTATTTAAAAAATGTGTTGAGTCTTAGAATTCTGACATGAAATAAAACAAGTTCTTATAAAAAAATGAGAGTATTAGTATATCGAGATAGCGAAACTAAAAAAAATTTCTTTTAAGAGATAAAAGTTTATCAGTTTTTAGTTATAAATCGTATTTTACCTAAATAATATGATTATTTAAAATGTTCAGTTTCAAATATGTAACTTGTCCTTAATTAAATAAATACTTAATGTAATGATGACTAGTGAGTTAATCAAGAATTGTAGTAAGTTTAATATAAACAATTATAGATTTAAAACTTTTCTGAATATTATTAGTTGAAAGTGACATTCTTAATACCAGAGTACGATAAGTATGGTAGAGGTCTTATTCCTACCTGCGATTTTGAGACCTTGTACTTCTACTGCTTGCGTCATATGTAAATAAGTCGCACTTACTTATACGCAAATTAGAATCTATTATTCTGACCAATAAATATGATGTCTTAGAATTGAAATTAAGACGTACATATCTGAAAAATGTTTGAATTATGGGAATTCGTTTGCATGAGGGATAAGTTAACGCGTCATATTATGTAGTTTATGCTAGTAAATACAGAATTAAAATTTTTTTTTAATATTGGCAAAGTTTTATACATAGTAGTATTACTTTCTGTAACAGAACCATAAAATAATTATTAATTAGACAGCTTTAAATTTTGTGTTGGTAGAGAGATCCACTGTCACGATAAAAAAAAGGAATTCACAGTATGTGACACGTTTGTTAAGCTGCTTTTAATAAATTGGTGGCAAAGAACACAATATAAATAAATGCATACAAAATCAGAATATTAATTCTAAAGAAAAGATTTAAAAAACCTGACAAATTTTTAGAATGAGACCAAAACCATTTCAAAAATTGATATATTCACTTACAACTCCCTGTGGAAGCCCAAGATCATAGGTTGGAGATGAAGAAATTGGTTGATATGGACCTCTAGCATAACGTAAAATTGCTAACTGTTGAGATCTTTTTATTCCACACTCTCCAAGTCCTCTAAGCTGAATCCAGTAAGCACCAATTGGTTGATCTGCATTTATTATAAAGTCATATCTTTCGCCTGAAACAAGAATCATAACATTGAAGCACTTATTGTAGTAATGAGCTACTAAAACTATTTTCTTAAAGTTTTGTAGTAAAGGGTTTCCTAGTTTTAAGAGTAATAGTTGCTTTCATTAAAAAAAATTTTTTTACATGAAAATACTAGATCTCGGTAAAAAACAAAGGTCAAGACAACTATCTGCCCCCAAAAAATTTTCACCTATTTTATAAATTGATTTCTTTTACCGTCTACTAACACGAGAAGCTTTGTGAAAAAACATTAGTATATGAAAACTAAAATAAGGCATGGTTACTAAGTAAATAACCATCAAGTTTCTGACAGCATCAGAAAATTTTTGACTTTGTGATGTTACTTTTACCTAAATTGGGTGCATAGCAATTTTTAAAGTGCATAAGCTCCTTACTACACACCTTTGCCTATGCATAAATGTATGTATTATTTAAATTAATTTTTTGTTATTTCTTAGTAAAAAAAAGTGTTTCAGTGTTATAAAAGAAAACTTTAAGTAAAAAAAAAGTGTTTTAATCATTTTAAGTTGACTAACAACTATTTGACAGCTATTTATCCTACAAACTTACTATAGTTCAATTGAACTCTTGCGGTAACTTAACAGACTACAACTGTTCAAACTAATTTCGTATATTGCGGCAAAAAAGTATCAAAAGGTTATTTTTTTAACTGAAATGGAAATCGCTTACACAAATTAGGGCTCCCAAAAACTCGTTTAATTTGATGATTTAATTTCATTTTTGTTTTAATTACTAAAAGTCTTTCTCTATTTTTTTTTTCAACTTTCTTGGAAGGCGCAGAAAGCCATTTTGTACATATACACATGAAAAAAAATGAGAATTGATGAAAAAAAAAAAAAAAATGTAATAATCAAGATACTAATATTTTCTCTTTTTGAAGTTGCTCTCATTAAGCCATAATAATAAATTTGTAATGTAATATTTTAAGGTGTGGTATAATTTTTCAATTTAGTTTGAAAGCTGCAAAAATGAAGTTTTTTGCTATTTCACGTTTGTCTTGACTTTTCACGATGAAATGTACATGGTATGATGAAAGTTATATCTGGTGCTTCCAAATTGTATATTTTGTATTCTTTAAAATTCAGAAAACTGCAAAAAATGTTGTTCATCTAATAATTTTTTAAATAATTAGTTAAACTTAAACTTCCTTAACTGTAGTAAGTGATAAAACTTTGTATTTTTAATATCTGTTTATGACTAATGAACTTTCTTTGAAAGAGGCCTTACAAAATGAGTTGCGAGTAGTAGTAATAGTTGTTCTTGCCTTTTTACATTGTTTTTCTAAGTTGCAAGACGATATAAAACGGTAAGTGTTGTTCCTTCAGGAGTTTATCTATAAGAAAAGCCCTGGAAAATTAATAAACTTATTTTGTTCATTAAATACCTGTGCTTGAGATGCATCTCTCAGACTTAAAAATTAATAATGCGATGAAAGCTGCCATGAAAACATTAAACATCAGCAATAGCTTATAACAGAGGTAAATAGTTTTGTTGTTTATCTAAGTAAAAATATTACTTAATCTTGTCCTGCTCCCTCTAATCGATTGATAACTATTCGTAAGGCCTTGTAACACTCTGTAAAATGAAGTGTCAGAATTAAAGAAAAAAAAAAAAAATTATATCCCTTTCTATTAGTCGTAAAATCGAAAACATTTTTTTTCACAACTAAAGTTAAATCGTTCCTCTCTCTATCAAAGTGACTACTCGTCAATTTGTATTGTTATTTTCTTTCGCAACTTAGTCATTTTTTGAGGTTTCTTTGAAAAAACGTATAAGTTATCAGCTCATATTTAAAAGAGATTGAGTATAAACAAAACTTTTAAAAGCTGTTGTATTTAGGTTGCAAGAAAATGCCATAATAAATATCAAAAATGCCATTAAAAAAATTAACGACTATTTGGAAGAACCATACAACATATTACAATAAAAAAAATTACATATACTTTATATCAGACCCTGTGACTTATTTAAGTTAAATAAGCGTAAGTTTATAATTATTTATTTAGAGTAATGACATGGAAAACAACTATTTTTTAGTAGTTCTTGCATTTTATACGAACAGAATAACCAATTTGAATGTACCAGATCTTATTCCGTAAATATTTTTAATACATACATCTGTTATCATGTTTATTTCTTCTAAGAAAGTTACAGTATCTCAATTGCTATTATTTTGTTACATATCTTGTCATCTTTTTTTTGGGACTTATTATGAAAAAGCTTTTTTTTTTAACATGAATTTAAAAATGAATGCACTTTTCAAGAAAATGTATTGTGTGTGATAGCAATGTTTAATTGCAAAAGAATTAACTACTTAAATATAAAAGCTGAATCTATTGTTCCATAAAGTCTTTTTTATCGATTATCTCAGGATTCAAAGTAAAAGTATTCTCAGTTTAAAGACGTATAGAAGCGCAAGTTTTTCGCTTCTTTTCAATGTACTGTAATAAAAATACAAGAGTTTTTGTAAGAAAAAAATTGAGTTCATACGTACTGATACATTCTTTGTTCTAAATGTTTATTTGGGAAAAGACTTGGAATAATTAGGCTTTCAATGATTGAAAAAATTTATATAATGCATGATGTTTGTTACTTTTACAAAATTTTGACTTTGTTTCCACCAGGTGTATGAGACTATTGTAAAGAATGGAATAAGTTCCATGAAAAAGTTGTAAATACCTTAAGAATTGTGTTTTTGAACTTTGGGTAAAAGTATTTGACAAGACAAACGCTGGCTTAATTATAGACTATAAGAATGTATTGATACATGAATATAAATATTACTGAAATCACTAATAACAACATGATCACTGCGAGAATCTCTGGTGCACGAGTTATTATGCATCGCAGAGAGGCAGTTCTGATAAAGATGTATAGAAAATGTATATTATATGAGTCAGTTTGGTTACGTTGAATGGATTCCAGGCAGATGTGTGGCTTCTACTTCTTACGGTGCTGCTGCGTAACACTGTATTGGGGAAGCATTGGATTAACCATAATGTAAACTAATTAGTTAGAATCGCCCAAATGAACGTGTCTTATTACTTAAATCCATTACAGGTGGTAGCTTTGAAAAATATTAATTAAAAAAAAACTTATTTTTTGCATACCCAAGAATAAATTTCATGCATAAAGAAATTGATAATCACAACTCAGTTCACAAGTTATTACAGTAAGACAATATATAACTATGTTGGTAGTGTCATTTACTGAACTAGACAGTAGCAACATACTTTTTATACTTCAAACATCATTTTTGATACAATAGTACAATAAACTTTACTTTTAAATAGTTATTTGTTTTCCTCACTTATTTATATGACGTATACTAAGAGGTTCAGTTGTTATAACATTTATATTTCATCATATCTCTTATTTTTGTACAGCATCTTTAAGAAATTCACAAACTAAGGGATCAGTATGCCAGTAAATTTGTATTATTCCTATTTTAATAATCAGGTTGTAGGATTATGATGGCTGAAATAGTAAAACTACTATTTATGTTATATTCTCAATCAATCCTATAAGATCTTCATCAGTAGAATCAGCTGACTAAAAAATCGAATGTGCGCGTCATCTCTCATGTACTAACTGATAAAGCTCTACTCATTTAATGTGAGTAGAACATAATTTATATAATAGTAAATCCAAATAGGTATACTAAGACGGTTTTGGCTCACCTTTTTTCGTTAGGATTCTAAAAATAAAGGGGAAGCTGATAGTGTTGGAAGAGTGTATGTCGATTACCTCCTTTGAGTGGAGGAAGGAGGGTCACTCTGACGCAAGAACTCTATCATGCATGGGTATCCGATTAACTTCTGTTTTGAATAGTGGGTGCAGCCCCCTCTAATTTACTTGTAACAAAGCCTCTTTGACCATTGACATGTATGCATGAAAAATATTAATGTGATCTCTTTGCATCTTGTCAATGTTTTATTTTCTCTATGGCACACTGTCAACAAATAATTTGGAGTCAACGCTTCACCATTTTGTTGATCTACTGAAACATGCGGTAAAGGTCGAGATTGCTTTATTTAAGTAAAAACCGCATATAAAACCTTATTGGACAGCACTTCTTCATTCGGCACTTCATGTGACGCTTGTCAGGTGGAATAAAAATTCAATGTACTCCATTTTATACGGCAAAGTGGTCTTAATTATGGTTATTAATACTATCAGTTTCTTGATTTTATTTGGTACAAGTGTCTGGAAAATATGAGCCGTTGTCATTGTACACAAATTTGGGAGAGCCACTGTGACGACAGAGGCGTTGTAATGCCATGATAATTGAATTTGCTGACAAACTATGCTACTTCCAAATTTTCCACCGTAGTCATGAAAGAAGTAAACAACTTGCTCCACTGCTTCACTCAACTTCGCTTTTTTTTACTTGTAGCAGTTAAAACCATCCACCCTGCAGTAAGTAACGTTCTCTACTTGAAAACTACGTGTCCTTTTGGAAGGGGAGCTATGACCACAGCTTGAGGTTAAGCTCGTTAGAGTTTACATATTTACCATTTGTTTTTATTAAGCTCTTGAGAGCATTTCTCAATCCAGTGATGTGAAGTTTTTTTTTCTGGTTTCATTTATGACTGCCTAATTACTTGCATATGCATATCACTGATGATATTCAGTGGTAATAAATTTTAATATTTCGTGATTTCCATTTAAAATTATCAGCCTGTTTTCTTAAACTGCTTTATCGATATTTGTCGCGTGTCTTTTTGCCCTTGGTAAACCGATTTACTTAACAAAAGGGATAATATAAGCAGTTTTCCAAAATAGCTTCGTCGTAATAGCTTTCGTTTTGAATAACTCGGGTTATAAAATTTTTAGCTTCTGATTAATTCGAATTTGTATGAGCTTTTCCTATGTTTGCTGTCAAAATTTCTTTGTCTTTTTTTTGTATTTTTAAGCTTTTTCAATAATTCAAATCAGCACAAAAAGTGGAATTGATGATGGTAAATC